CTGTTTACAAGGCTGCAAGCCTGGCTGAAATACTCAGGCATCAATGAAGGTCACCTGTCAAGTTAAAGTAGTGCCTAAAGATTACTTCATGCGGCTATAAACGACCGTTAAATGGAATGATGAATTTTTGAAGGATTTTGAAAAAGGAAAAAATGATAATTATGCCGGCCCAGCATCACCAACATTGAAAAATGCCCCGGCATGAAGTGGTTAATGAGCTCTTTCTTCTGGAGTTAGTTTGGGAATAAATAATCCAGTTGTTTACAAGATTTTGTGTTTTGTTTGAATCATTTTTATTATTGCATTAGTACTAAAGCGTATTTTATGAGATTTCACGATCACTCTTTGTGATGAAATAGCGCATTTTGTTCCTAATGAACTAAGCTTTCCAGTAGTAGTAAACATCATATCCTACATTACACCTTTCTAGTCACAACTACAAAAAGTGAAATTCATTTTTTTGCACCAAAATATCCCGAATAGTGCAACAGATGTCATCATTAGTGGTTCTGCACTATCTTTTTAAAATTTTGCACTTATAAAATCTGAAATGTTCAATCAATCAGTGTTATTTTAGATATTATCAACGAATTATGTTTCTTTAGAATGGTAATGCATATTTAGGATTATACAAATAAGGATGGAATTTGCAGACCGATGTCAGTACAGAATACCAACTGCAACCAGGTGTCAAATTAGACAAAATGTTCTACGTGCACCATGAGTGAGTGCATGCGATTGAAAAAGGTTGCATGCACCATTGAAAAAGGTTGCATGCACCATTGAAAAAGGTTGCATGCACCATTGAAAAAGGTTGCATGCACCATTGAAAAAGGTTGCATGCACCATTGAAAAAGGTTGCATGCACCATTGAAAAAGGTTGCATGCACCATTGAAAAAGGTTGCATGCACCATTGAAAAAGGTTGCATGCACCATTGAAAAAGGTTGCATGCACCATTGAAAAAGGTTGCATGCACCATTGAAAAAGGTTGCATGCACCATTAGCTTGTGTAAGAACAAAAGTAAAGAGAGTCAAACGTAGTAACTGTACGTTACCCTGCAAATTTGCCTCATTACAAGCTACAGTACGTGTACCTGACTTATAGCTGTCAAAAACTTGACCCTGTAAACACATGATATGGTAAACATAGAGTATACGTACTGTACATGTACATTTGATGAAGCAACGGATCATACAACACACATGCACGTGCGCTCTACAGGGGTTGGTGTCAAATGCATCAATTGCTGTAACCCCTACACTAGTCTTTCCTCAAGAGGTAAAGTTGACGACGTACAAGTTAGCTGCATGTACATGTACGTGCACTGTGCCCGGTAATGCCAACGTTGTATTTAGGCTAGGTCCATGGTGACACTACAGAAGTGAATGTGTCACATGCACTGTTATGTGTGTAAAAGGTAAACGACAACGTAAGCCGTGGCTATCGAAAGGTATGGTAATGTGACAATGCACTTTCGTACTGTTAATAACATTTGTTACTGAGTAGCGATATTTTCAGTATATATTTCAATAACGATGTTTTCAAAGTTTTTATATTTCTCGAAAATTCGATATTTTAGCTATATCGATATTACCAAATAAGTAACATTGTCTATATCGATATCAAACCCATATCGATATATCAACGGTGCTTAGTACGACTTCTTTACATACAGGAAATTATGCACGAAAGCTTGGTCATTGTCGTAAATGTGCAAGTGTACTTTAAAAATGTAGCAGATATTCCAAGTACATGAAGTACATGTAGTTACAGGAGGGTAGCATGTGAGGAAGCATTTGAGAAAACTTAGAAAAAAAACAGTACAATCCATGTTACAAGTACTTTTTCTACTGTGTAAATTTAAAGCAAAGTTTTTGTTTTGCTTTTACATAAACCCAGATTTTATCAATACTCTTGATTGCTGTTCTGCAGTTATGTTTCTACTACTTTGTTGTTGCAGCCGAACCGGTAGTGACATCAGTGGTAATAGCATAGGAAGTACCGAAGGAGACAGCAGGCTGGGGGAACAGTCAAGCACTGATGATCCCATGATGCAAGACAAACACAGTAACAAAGATGTAAGTGCTTGGACTGTAGCAGTGGCTCCCAAAAATGATGTTGGCAGACCACTTTGGAAATAAACTTTTACTTATAGCTATATCTGTAAATCAAGTTAAAATATTTGCAATAAAAGTTCCTAACCGTGACATTCGACACTGGAAAAACTAGAAACAGGAAGAGTGTTTATTTTTATACTTTACTCTTGAATATTGTATTTTCATTAGTCCAGAAAAGATCCCATCAAATACGCTTTACCTTTACCTCTGGACATTACATGTACATCGTGAAATTATATCCTAATCTCACTCCATAATCTGACCATAATGTGGTAACCGCTTTCTAGACTATTCATTTCTCTGCTACTTTCACCATACAGATGATAATAAGAAACTCTTGTAGGAGCAGCAGAATAACATTTATATGTGTATGATCAGCTGTTGGAGTGCAATTTTTTTTTTTCAGAGTTTAGGCTAGTTTAAAATTCATTTTTTCTTATGAGATCCTCAACATACATGTAGTATCTGCTTTAACTTGAAGACACATGCTTAGTTTCGTCCAAAAGGGTTTTGAGACAATAAAGACGTTGCTTTGAAGCAAGACAACTGCCACCAACACAGTTAAATGGATACGGCGATGCGAGTCCACGCACACCATACAACTTCTGTACACCAGATGGGTCTAGATACTCATTTTGATTAAAAATGGTGGACTTTCCCGTGAGGGAAATATAGCAAATAATTCAAGACAGAGGTGTAATGAAATAATTATAGACTACCGGGATGTCGGACATTATTCAGCTATTTCCTGCTGTGTAGGGGTCCATGGTGTTTTGTACAACCGATGGAACAAATGGCACCCGCAGCAAAGCTGAGCAAGCCATTTTCTCCTGAAAGTGTGACAAAACCCATGTATCCTGTCACAACAGGCAATAATTGTGATATATTTGCAGGGTTATTTTCCGAGGTAATTGATGGTCACTGCGACACTGGGAGTTACTCATTGCAAAGAGTAATTTAATATGGTCACATGGCATGACGTCATCCCTTACAAGTACATGTACATTGTCAATGCGCGTACAAATTGTATGCTCCGGTGTGTGAATAGTTTGGTTATGCATCATACATGACAACAATTGTTTTCTTATACCACACTAATAGATTTTTTTTTAAATACAAGTGAAAGAAGTGACATACATTTTACTGCTTCCCAATGTTTTTCATTTCACTGAAATTGTCTTCACCAACAAAGTGTGTATTTCAACAAATTGAGAGGGAGTACCATCTTTGTCTTGATGTTTTGGAAGAAATTTTCCTGAAAGCTACAAGTATCTAATCCTGTCATGGGCAGTATCTGAAATTGCAGGGTCTCCCTGTCATGCTTGTGGTGATGCTAAATTTGGAAACGCCATATTTTGCACATGTACAGAATGTTCCACATTTATCTTCATAGAAGAAATAGTGCTTCACTGTTCCCCACAAAACATGTCATAGATGTGGAAGGGTCTGTGATCTGTGTGGGAGGCAGAGTTGAGGAAGATCTGGTCAAGGACAGAGTTTTGGCATTTGGATGGAACTTCAGATTAGAGGGCGGAGCTTGCTGGATCACTTCAGAGGCTGGGCCAGGAAGTAGCACTTCAGGTTGGAGGGCGGATCTTGCTGGGTCACCTTGGGGGCTGGGATAGGGGATGGCATGTTAGGTGTCGTGAGGTCATGCAAATCAATACCAGACACGAACTTGGGTTTCCTTCATTTCAGTAGTTTATTCTCTGTGCAAACTGATGGTACACCCCTGTTTGGGCCAGGGTCGGCAGGTGAGGCCTTACTGTGCCTTGACTGCATAGCTGCCCACCCGGTGTTGATTTTCGAGCTGGTGGTCCATGCGCCATTGAGGAGGATCAGGGGGGAGCCAGAGGGAGACGCACACAGACACTGACGCGTTGATTACATGATAACACTTAAAATACTTTGATTCAAATAAACCAACTAAATTAAAATTTAATATTACAAAATTTACAATTTACATTGTAAAAGAAATTAAACAATATAAGTAACCGTCATGAACTTAAACGGTACCAGGACACAGAAAGAATAGAGACATCAGTGGTGAAGTCGGTGGCCTCCAATGGGTGACATCAGGTCTATGGGGTCTCTCAACATCTATGCAACACTCCCAGCTTGAGGTGAAAAAGCTGTCCCATTCCCAACCAAAAAGACCTGAAATTTAACGTATGTATATTACAATAAATATGTGCCATTCATCTAGTTTTCTGGCCACAAGATTGATTATACTTTACTAAAGATTTACCAATGGACCAGTGGTCTTTGCATAACGGTTGCTAAATGTGTGGCAAGATGTTGACAAAATCAAATGATTAATTTGTCCAATGTAAGCCATTTGAAACATGAACATTTTAAGGTTACAAGCAATCCAAGTTTTACAGGTGTGACATTAATACTCTGACAAATGCCCAAAACTTCACCAGGCGTAAAAGCTCAAACAAAAGGGACCACACTTGAATACACCTAGTTTAAAGTGACAGCCCAAAACCATGGTTTCCTAGTTACATTTGATTCATAAACAGAGCTTTATACAGATATAACCTCTAATTTACACAATCATAACTGATAGATTTATGCAATCATAACCACTAGTTTATACAGACATAAAGAAACAATTTATACAACATAATTCTCATGGTTTTGTTTCCATGGAGACCCCTGAAATCACCCAAAACAAATCATCGTTTGTGACAGCGTTGGATCTTGAAATATGGCTAAGGTAGTTTCCTTTGCATCACATTTTTTAGCAGAACTGGATCAGCAGTTCATCAGTCTTTCAAGGATGGATTTTTTTTGTTATCCTTTCAGTGTAGTGTATGACACTCCAGGGATCCGTCCAGCCCACTTACTGGCATTCTTCTGATTCACCTGATGGAGCAGACTCTTATCACAACGTGGCTGAGTTAATTTTCAAAGTATTCAACAGTTCACATATTGACCTTTTGTCCACGATAGAGAACGTTGACTGCTGATGTTCTGCACCAGGTTCCCTCACCTACAAGCCTGTATGATAGACATCTTCCCTTTTGGCTTGGAAGGGTTACTTGCCAATGCGCCTACCCTTCGTCCCAGCAGTTCTGTCTGAGTTGTTCAGGAGTGTTGCTATGATCTTCTTGGCGCTCTGTTCTTGCTTCACCAGCCTTTGTGCCCCAATCAACCAGGCTGCCAGTGTAAGTCTACACCAACAGATAACAACTTTCTACATTATGGTGTGTCAGTCATCGTACGGCTCCAACCGAGACACACATGGGCCTCGAGTTTGATCAAGAGAGGGCACGCTTATCCTAGCAACCGTGACTCCGCTTGCGGTACTCACTACGTTTCGCTGATTAACAAAGGTGTTTCATCACTGATTTAGTGCACGGTATACCAGGTAATGCAAAGAGACTGTTCCCGAGTGTTTTTGCGCGTAAGAGCTTCTGATAACAGTGAGGCGGAAACTAGACTCTTGAATATTGAGTTTGGAAGGAGCTAAAAACTTTTGACGATTGAATGAGACAGAACGTAAATAAACATGGCGTGAGAAATACATTGCGGATTTTGTGAAATAAAATATGATAAGCGGAGGAAGTGTGGAAGGAAAAGTTGCTATCCGAATCTGAACACATTTTCAGTGTCACAGAATTTGTGCAAGGACAGCACAGGATTTCAATTTCTCCTTACCAGCTTATGAGATTGTGTTGTCAGTAAGTCTTATCAGAGGCTGAAAAGAAGCAGACGTGCATGATTTTAGACTGGGTTTAGTTCTATTATGAGAAAAGGCAAGGTCAAAAATCCCAGGAATTAATTATTAAATATAACTTATCAATCAAAACTGTTGACAGATAAACACAACTTTTGTTGTGTTATTTTTTACTCTTTACATTTCCAACATAGGTCGAAAACTAAAAATTATAATAATTAAATGCAAACACATCCGTTACATATGAAGTCTTTTTGCATACTGGTACTAATAAACATTAAGTACATGTTTATGATTTTCATAAAAATATAAATTAATCCTATTTTAGATTCAGAAATACGTTCTAAAAGTTACAAGAATAAAAGAAGTAAACCCTACTTCCTCACAATGCAGTATGAAAACATATCAGTAGAGCCTGTCACTAATGCTGGTGTCAACAGACAACAATCAACTAAAGTAAATTGAACTTAAATGTCCTTATTCTTGTAAAGATTCAGAGATGGAAACTGGCAACTAAAAAATCTCAATTTTAACAAGCATGGACAAATAGGCTTAAAAAATCACATGCTTACTATACCCAAACTCAGGTAACAGTGTATGTCACAGGAGTTAATGCGTGCATGTTTGTGTTTTCTCCCAAACAATCGGATACTGTAAATGTGCCATTCAATCCTACTTTCATCCAGACATCAATTGCTAAGGTTACAGAATTTCTATTTTGAATACATGTATTTTTCTCTGAATTGTTAACAGAGGGTTCTCCTTAAAGAGAAAGCATTAATGTCAAGTACTTTTCAAGGTCTTTGTAAAATCTGCAGAGAATACATAGATGTAAGTGATAATGCATTCATTTATTAGGATTGTAATGCTTCTCTTACTTTCTATGCAACACAATTTTCTGAACTTAAAAATAAATACGGATAGTCCAGAAATTAGGGGTGCATTTTTGATGCAATAACTACCACTACAATAACATGAAATCCACATGTGCACTTGAGGTTTCCCTGCACAGCATCTGGTTCCACACACTGCTCTTTTGTCTCTGTGTGTCCAATGCAGGGTCCTCGCTGCCAGTCATGTAACATAACATAATATGGACAGCAGCAAAGATCGTATAGTGCCGCGTGGCGGTGCAAGATAGGAACTTCACCATGAATACGCGTAAAACGTTGTTATCACATGGGCGCCATTCTGGTTGGACTACGCCTGTGCAGTGCATGTTAAGGCACTGCGACAGGCACGCACACACATTAACGTTCACACTCAAATGGGGCCCATGGTGATAACACCTTTATGGCCGAATTACCCATCTTGCACCACTACGCTGCGCTATATAACCTTTGGACAGCAGTACATGCATGAGCTCCTGGGCCAGTGCAAGTGCATGTATCCTGTTGAGGAAAATTGACTTGAATCTGTCTGTGCACATGCACTTTCTCAGTTTTCTGCTTTGGGATCAGCTGGCCTCAGTTGTGATCAGCAGATACTACTGGAGTCTGTACAGGTACCTGAGTCTTATTTGCTGATTTCCTTACTGTAGTCACCTCCTGTGTTTAGGGTGGGTTTGTTACACTTCTTCCCATCCTCAAAATGGCAAGCACATATTCTATTGGATTTACCTGGTTTCCACGGGGAGCCGTCATGCCTGTACATGTATTCCATAGAATAAAAACCAAACTGAGGGATAAGTTTAGAAAGCTTGTGAGAAATGATGACCGAATGGCCTAATGTCATTTAACTTTTTGTTGGATTGAAAATGTCAATAACTTGATAATTAAAGGTTGATTGACCAATCACTCAAAAATCATGCAATTATAGGTAGTGGCATCCAGTCTTTATTGAAACTTACACGTATGTCCTAACATCACTGCCCACCCCCTTAAAATTTCATCATGAAATCTGAGTTCCAAATGTAACTTCTAGCAACTGTATAAAACACCATTTTTATCAGGTCATGGTTTTGCTTTCTGATTATTGAAGTGAAGGGAAGAATTACTGGTGGCCATAGGCTTGTATCACAGATCTTAGGCCTAGGCCAACTGTACCTCCAAAACTTTGGGTCTGACATCTGCCCCGCTCCGAACGTGGAAGCAGGGTAGACTTTGGACCCCACTGTTCTGGGGGTAGGCTAGGCCTATGTGGAACTCTTCCCGATTAAATAATTTTAATGATACTAAAGCCTAGGCTGCTACTAACCTGTGCTGACCCAACCTTCCGGACATGGTGACCCATAGTTGCAATTGCCTACTTCAAAGGTAGACAGGTTTTTGTGAGAACAACCACACATCATGGCGCATTTTTGCTTCGTTCACCATGAACATGATGATGAATCAGCCATTCTCTCGCCTTCTCCAAAGCTGAATGAAAGACCTTGTCTAGATAGGTGACTAGAGCCTGAGAATGCACGCATGGACACTAAAATGTTCAAAGAGCTCAAACTTAGTACACGTATTTCAGCATGAGGGCAAGGCTGGCGTATGCATGCTAGTGTCGCAATGCGTCGCGATGGCTCGTGTCAGTCATGCATACATGCACCAAACAAGATGGCGATCGATTTAGTACTGCGGACTGCCTGGCTCTGTTCAACTGTTGAGGGGGTACTTCTAGTCAAGGCGGATAACTGCAGTAGCTGACTTTCTATCTTGTTCCTACTTTACTCGGTGCTACAGTTAGCACTCATACGCTACTACCGTTCTGTCGTCATATCTTTCCACTGTGGTTGACCCTGATCGCTCCATACCGTCGGACCACACTGCGCTTAAGTACTCTTCTCATGACATGTTCATTGAGCATTTCCCTTTGAGACAGCTCATTCCCTGTTGGGACCTGTTTCATGTCCTTGAGCTCTTCAGAGGTTTTCCCTACAAGCTTTTCATTGAGGCCTCATCATTACACACGTCGTTTATGCTAGCCCTTTTTCTTCTAGTAACCACTTTATTCGGGGGGAGAGGGGGCAGTGGATTGCCAACGGGATCCATCACAGATGGTGTTATCAGATGGTAACACCACGGCATCTATTTCATCTGAGCCCTAGGCTCCCACACAAAGTCCTATTCAAATTCATCCCACCAACAAGACAAATTCTCATAATGGTATCTGGCCAGGATGCAAAGCTGAGTGGTATAATCCCTCTTCCTCTGTCATTATACCGATAACCTCATCAAACAATAATCAGAGAAACTACTGCTAGTTGGGTTTCCTCGGCCATCAAGTTCACCTGTCCTGAATGGCCGACCTTCCCAGATCACAAACCTGGCCGCCCTGTCGCAGTTCATGACGCTAGAACAGTATCTATCTTGCAGACATCCCTCAGCAGTGTCCTTTCGGAAGATTTCTGCAGAGCAGCATGCTGGAAACATGATCATCATTCACCTCATGCTGTCCTAATAAAGTCTTGGAATGAGTTATTTCATGGCAAGACAATACTAGCCTTTTCACCGAGACCATGAGGACCCATACTGGGTGAACCACCTACAGCTCTATCTGATGGTCTCTTTCTTTTTTAGATGGGTCCTCATCATTCCAACCCTCCAGACTACGGTGCCACTCTGCAAATGTAGCAACTGTTTGGATAGGATGAGTGCAGTGGACTCCTCTCCCACAGTCGTATGGGAGAGTCTGCTAACAAATACCCAAACAGTTAATGCCCTCCTGTCCACCCCACTCTTACTCAGACCTTGCTCTTCGAAAAAGGACAAGCATGGCAGCGGCATTGCTATGCATTGTCGTAATAAAGGGCGCACTACAGTTGATCAAATTTCAGCGACTGTAATGAGGCACAGAGGAAATTGCAAATATAGCAACTGTTTGGGTAGGTATTTGTTAGCAGACTCTCCTACACTACTGTGGGGAGGAGTAAAATGAGCCAGTTGGGTATTTCAAAAAGCCAATGTCTTTTGGGAACGAAGGTCACATGTGAGTCGGCATGTGGCTACACTGATACCACAGACTATCATGTGCATGTGCACAGTGTGTAGCTGTTCCCAAATAGCCTTGTACTGAGCATGCACTGTTCGCATAAACAATTGGCTCATGGTTGAAAAAAAACATTGGAAAATTCTTAATTTTTAAATTTGATTGACTTTATTACTCAAAAGGTATTTATGAATAGACCTGCTCAGGAGAATTGATGCTGTTAATGCCAACACGGCTTCACCTTCGGCATCAGTATCCCTTTTTCTGATTGTTTGAGTCCAGCTAAGCTCATATTTATTCCCTTATTCTCTTTACATTTTGTTTTTAGTCCAGTGGCTATTGGTTAAAGCCGAATTCTGCTAAGACTGGTGGAGTGCGGAGGAAGACCATCCAAACCAAGCCAACTGCTGGTCTGAATTTATGGAGTATCATTAAAAATTGCATTGGGAAGGAACTCTCAAAGATTCCTGTACCAGTAAGTAAATTACCTTCAAGTTTATTTTGATAATGTTAAATTTCTAGTTCCACTTCGTGTTTGTTTATTCAGTTAGACACTTAGACTGACAATGAGGTCACTCGTGTAGGTCTGTGCCCCAAAGGACTGGTGACCAAAAGGAGGACCTATTTCTGGGGGCCAAAGGCCAATGAAAATTGGAGCCTTCTCCAGTCACTCACAGGCCTAATTGACATGGTGTGCATGAATGACTGAATTTTGCCAGTCCATACATGTGCTGTATATGTTATTATAACACACCTCTGTTCAAAAATTTATGCAAAACAAAAAAAACTTTTAAGAGGGTTTGATAACTTATCTGTTTTAATTCAACCATGAACTCATAAGCAATTCAACAAGCAAATTAACAATGAAAGGGGCGCTTTGAGTTTCCCTAGACTCAGTTCCTGACTTCAGAGAAGTTTTCATTGTGCTGTAACCAGTCAAGGTTCTATATTCTGAAATTTAAACATGTGATATCTTGAGCTTTTTGTCCAATTCATGTTGATGCAAATTGTACACACTAGCCTATAGATACAAGTGAACCCTATGTGGCTGCATATCAACCAACCAGGGTAAAGATTCAGCTAGAGGTGTGTTATAAACAGTGTTCTTCCAGTTGTACTGTTGTTGTATATGTGTTCCCTTGGCCTTGTTTTAGTTAATGTACTGCAACTTTCCTGTAAAGGGATACCAGACTTCTGACAATTGCCAGAATTCTGGCCTTTTCATTTTTTAGAGGAAAATCCTCCGGCGTGCAGCATATGTGGGCCAGAACAACAATATTTTTTAGAAACGTAGGAACTTTGAATACAGCACCTAAAACTTTGAATAGATGCAATGCTTTCCAATCTTCATGTGCTGTAGTATGAGTGAAAAAATTATTCAATTTACACGTAGCGTGGTACGAGTATGTGCGTCATATGGTTTCACAAGCTTGTGCATGCAGCATGTACGTACATGTACAATATGTAATGAAATAACAACATGTAGGCATTGTTTCACGTGTCACAATTGGACATTGAGTTAAGTGGCCAAATGGAAGTTGAAAGTGGTGAAAATGTAAATTAATTAATAGAAGTGTTAAAGTAAGTTCAACTGACACTGGCTAGAATAAAAACAGTAGCGGATGCTTCGTTTTGACTAACATTATATAAAGTCTTTTAGGAAGATCGATGTAAAGTGCAGTGTATCATGTGCCGCTGGTAAGACATTGCTGGTCACACAAGAAAACCAACAGAGTGTTTCAAAGTCTTTCAAAAGTACAATTTAGTTCATAGGAAAAAGGGACAGGATACTCAGGTGGTTTTTAGCCTTTGGCATTCATCATGTGCAACTCTTTTTAGTCAGATCCTGTGCGCATGTATTTGCCCCATATTTTCTGGTACTTTATAATACAGTAAAATATCGATAACTCAAAGTCAGTTAACTCGAAACTCTGCTTAACTCGAAGAAGAATTAATTCCCGCCAAAAGAATAGGCTTTGATGTACAAAAATATATCCATTACTCGAACTGCTCACGTTGCCGAATTCTTTTACCTCGAAGTTTTTGTGTAGCAAATCCAAAAGAAACTGCCGCCAAAATAGTTCCAGAAAAGTGTGAACAGAATGCGGGTCTAGTTATGAATCATTTCTGACACGCACACTTCGTCTTTTCACACCGGAACACTTGCAAGCGCGCTACAATGATGATCGATCTAGACACGTAAACCACACCTTGACCGCAAAATCCGACTTGCAGGAATTAGCCCAATTGTTACCGTGGGTCTATTGTAGCCGGTGCGGTGGCAGGTCAGCTGATGGCTCTTTGCGGTGGCTGCGGCAATCCATTGGAGATCTTTGTGTATGCCGCACGCGCCACACGTACGAAAGTTGTCCGAAACAGGCTTCCAGAGCTACAGCTAGGTCTATTTTCTATGCGTCTCCACGCATTTCCAATGGAGTGAAGACCTAGACCTAGCTCTAGACATGAGATTCGGATGCCGCCTTAATAAGTGTGGTCTAACACTCTGGCTCAACTGCTTGCTCTCACCCGTGCAATGGCTGCCCAATTAGAGCCACAAACCACAGCATGCTCACACGCAGTGGACCAACCACGTGACTGCAACGCAGAGCTTTTTTGTAGCCAAATCTCACTCCAAAAAATAAACAAAGCTTGAAAATAAAGAACAAAGAACAAAAAAAAACCAGACACCAATAGCATGTTTGTTTTTACAAAATTTTATTGAAGCGCAAAAAGGTGCACCCTTGTGATAAAAAAGTCATCTGACTCATCAGGAAAGCCCACCCAAGTACGCATGTACAAGGCGCTGCGTTGCGTTGCGCAGTATCAGAAATGGGACCACCACAATGCAGCACACATGCACAAAGCAAAAGAAAGATTTGTCACACAAAGGTGCACAGTTTAAATGATGTACAGTACATGTAATGTGCTATATATCAGCCAATTGACAACAAAAATCCTCTGCAAAAATGTCTTTCTTTGAACAAAAATGTGTGGCACCAAAGGGAGATTTACGGTAACTGTGTGTTGGCGTATAGGTACCTGTTATCCTACACATCATAATAATGACTTAACTTCAAAAGAAACCGGGACCTTCTTTTAACTCACATTACGGATAACTCAAATTTTTTGTCTATTCCCCAAAGATTCGAGGTATCAAGATTTTACTGTACTTTACCCATTTTGAAAATTTTCCAGCCCTGGACTGAGAGTACACTGGCATCCCTACCCGTAGAATGACGCAATGAAATTCATTGGGGACACATGGTAAACTGGGTGGTCGTAGATTTCCATGTTTAGGTTGTCAGGGATGCTATACAGTCTAATGGAAATACTTTCAAGCTGTAGATCTACCACTATTATGCTGTAAACTGCTTTACAAACAATACAGCTTCTTGTGTTGCGTCTTGCAAGACAGAAATCTGTTATGTAGTTTGAGTCAACATCAAGGTGGCAAATGGTGAGATTCAGATTCAGAACAACGTTGAATTAATTCACAGTGTCTGATGAAATGAGGGAGTCATGACTGATATCTGGAACACCGATGACCATGCCCAGCCTTCATCTTGATCAAAGTTGAATACCACTAATTAAATGTCTTGAAAGTCAACATTTTTGACAGACATGAAAAACCTGTAAATCCTAGCCACCTACAAATTATTGGGAAACAATAATTCCTGCTGTAATGTTTGAACAGATTTGTAAGTGGTGGCAGATTATATCTACATACATCAAAACCATTATCACAAATTAAAAACATGTCTCATAAATTCAATTAAAAAATTTCTGTGTCCTATGCACTGTCTACTCAAACAGTCACTAAATTTGCAAATTCCTTTGCATTTGATTCTATTTGCCAAAACTTGATTAACCGTAATGCACCCTCTAGGCCCATAATGCATAGCTGCACCTTTGCTTTGTTCGCGTTTACTAATAATAATGATTTATTCATTTGTAAAGTGCAAATTTCATATAGATATGTTCAAATGTTTGTTTTTGTGGTATTTTCTTTTCTCTTTTGTGTGTACATTTTGCATAGGCTCCATGTTGACTCTACGCAGCGGTAACACCAAGTATTTTACCTTGGGTCAAGGGTTATATATATACACATGTATATCAATATATTTTGTCGTTCTTTTCTCAGTCTTGCGCGAGTTGTAGACTGACCCTTGTATTGACCTAGTTTTCATATCTGTGTTTTTCTAGGTTCTGCTTGGTGGTGCTGTTTGCTTTCTTCTATATATATTTTTGTTGATTTCAGATTAAAATTGAGTACGTTTGTTTCTTTATTCTGCTTATTCCAATTTCTTATCTGTATATACCCTCTATTTAACTTCACCCCATTCGTGGCATTGCTTGTTTATATTTTTGTTGGTTATCTTACCAGAATATCTTTGAGAGCTGTTGTCTTGTTTTTCTGAGTTGTTTTGCCTGTCGATTTCCATTTTGTATTTCACCGAAAATTTTAGCATTCCTTATTTTGTTCTTTTGGTTTAGCTTCTCCCTGTTTGGGTATTAGATTCAAGTTCTAGAGGTAGATTTTGAGAGTCTGCTCTTCACCCCGCTTCAAGTAATTCGCCTGTTTGCGGGACAGGGATTGCTTGGTTGGTAAGGACAGTGGTGTGGTGTTTTTGGTCCTTGCAAACCTAGGGAATAGGACATCGCAAAGATTTACCAGTCTCTCCCTTTCAGTCAGTCTGGGGTACAACGGTGTTATACCTTCATTTTTTCCAGTACCGTACTGTTGAGCATGTGAGTTTGCTCTTTGAATACCTTTGCAACTCGCAGCAGTCTGACGGCTGTTCCCCTGGCATGGTGTGATACATCCGGTCGTTCAGCTGGCCACAGGCCTTCTTCGAGCTTCAAGTGCCTTTGGCCCATCCATGCACCCCCTACTGGCCTTCTGGGGCGTGGCGGCTTGGTAACTCATAGTCGTGTAGCAGCATTTCCGCTGGGGTGGCTCATCTTATTGTCCGGTAATGCCACTTGTCTTTCCCCCTCTTCCCAATGTTTTCCCTTGATCTTTCTTGTATAGACGCTGTGGACAGACTAGCAAAGGTCAAGCGATGGACTTCAGGCTTCCACCTGCACCGGTTTTTTAGGTTCTCACTGGGTGATTTTGATCAATATCTCTTAGTTCATGCTCTTCAGCTCCGGCTGCCTCCAGTGCGCAGCAGGGTGTCACCGCCGCCCCCCCCCGGTCTTTTAGGGGTAGGTGACTAATCCGCCCCTTCTTCGGTTGTCAATCCCAAACCCGTTGGCAGCCGTCTTCTATCTTTCGCAGGATTCTGGGGGAAAATAACGTGGGATGGATGGGTCCTCGACACTCTTCTACATGGTTACTGTCTGGAGTTCACCAGCGCCCCTCCATCCAACACTGTGTTTCGACTGACTCAGGTTCCCATCAATCAGTCCAAGCTTGGGGCCTTTGAGTTGGAACTTAAGAACCTCCTTCAGAAGTGGGCTATCATTCCAGTT